ATATTCCCATTTTACTTATACTGCTTTGAAGGTCCAATGAAAGACTTCTCCTAAATAAACAAGAGATAATAACCCAAACTTTAAAAAATTTTATCACACAGAATTTCACAGCACAAGTTTTCAAAGGAAATTTAAACACATTCACAGCAACTACAAAAAAAGACTGATATATACAAAAAAAGCATCCTATGATATATTAAGATGCACAATAAAAAGGAATATATACATTTAATATACACATACATACTTATATACATTTATATACATACATACATATCAAGTTCTCATCCCAAAAACAGTGTATGCATAACAATAAATGGAAAATAAAACAACACTACATTAAACACTTCATTTTGTTTAGTTCATGTAATTCTCACAACTAAATGAGGCACATACACAGTTACATAAACACTCCTACTTAAAGTTGTAATTATACCAGAAAAAAGGTTAAGTACTTTCTAGTAGTAAGTTACCTCTAGAAAATGGTATTTTTGGATTAGGAAAAAAGGCAGAAATGGTTAGGGAGTACTTTCACTTTCTATTATAAATCCTCTGTCCCTTTAACTTTTTGCATTTAGCTTAGCTCTCTTTTTTAAATTAAAAAAAAAAAACCACAATAAAGTCTCCTACAGAGCATTTACTATATAGAAAAAGAGAACTGTTAGAATGTAAGAGATGAAATATTTTCAACTTTAAAACTTAGGTCTTTAGATTATGAACCTGTTGTTAAGTTTTAAAAACAGAATAGTATGATTATATTCATCAGCAGTCTGCTATACACATTACTTCTGTAAAATGATGTCAGAAGGCAAACATGGTGTGTGATATCCACATGGTTAAAGGATCACATCACTAGCTCTCTCTCTCTTCATACCTTAAAAGGAGGTTTTCAAGTTGAAGTTCACCCTATACAACATTTTAGTGCTCCATCTACTAAGTAAGTTTAACCCCAACAGCTAGGCTTATACTTAATAACAAAACAAATGCTATGAAAATAAAATCTTATATTTAAAATGCAAAATTTCCTCCAATAATACAATTAACACCTATTATGTGGTAAGTTTTGAGGTAGAAACAAATATGAATAAAAAATACAATGTATTTCTTGTGTTTGAGAAACTGGGATGGTAATCCTCAAAGAGACAAAATTTAGTAGACACTCATATAACCTAATGGAAATACAGAAGAGGGTGACTAGCTCCACAGCATCCTGGCAATCATTTTATTTTCTTACTTTATAAAGTTATTCTTAGCTTTATATTCTGTAAGAATTTCTAAATTTTACTCAATAAAGAAACAAACTTACAGATTTTATGGAAATACTAGCTTAATATTTATAAACCCAGCTCTACAACAGAACAAAACTCAGAGATACTTTATATTACAATTAACTTCATTAAGTGTTTTGTGCTAGTATGTAAATAAACTTTATAATGAAATGTAGACATTTATTTATAGTAGTCATTCTTAAATAGGGGCAATTCTGTTCCCCAGGAACATTTGGCAATGTCTGGAAACATTTTTGCTTATCACAACTGGTGGTGGGTGGTGTGTGGGAAGATACCAGGGACATTGCTAAGCACCCTTTAGTGCAAGGGCAGCCTCCCCAAACAGATAATTATCTAGCCCAATATGTGAACACTGCTGACGGTGAAGAACACTGATTTATAGTAATAGCTTACCAACCTACAAATCAAGTTATTAAGCAGACTTACCATCTTAAACTTAAAAACTAGAAAACTGGCAAAAAGTACAAAATAATACAAAACAAACCACAGGTTGAAATGAACTATTACAAAGCATATTTCATGTGTCACACTCTATACTGAGATCTTGCCTCCAAAGGTAGTAATATTACCCAAGTAATGAAATCTTCCCAAGATTGCCTTGCTGGTTAATCAGAGTTTGGCTGCAAGTCTCCATCTATCTAAACAAAAGCTCATCCTTCTTCCGCTACATCACTAAGTAGTCAAAATGATTTTTGTTGAATCTAAAGTTGATGCATTTTATTCCTGGGACAGCTCCTCACACCTTGGCTTAGGGATTAGTCCTTCTTACTATAAACAAATTCTAATGAAATTGGCTATCTGGTTTTTAAACCCACAGATGATTTACAATAGTTAATTATAGCCGGGTGCAGGCCTGTAATCCCAGCACTTGGGAGGCTGAGGCAGGATAATTGCCATGAGTTCAAGGCTGGCCTGGGCTACATAGTTGAGTTTGAGGCCAGCCAATCTGAACTACATAGCAAGACCTTGTCTCAGGAAAAAAAAAACTAAGTACAGTGCTCTGATAAGCTGGTATCAAGGCCAGAGGAAAATTTTTAAAAATACAAAACACAAAGTCAAGGGTTTTCATTACAGAAGTCACTGAATACTCTACAGTAGTATAGGGTTAGGGGTATAGCTCAAGGGGAGAACAGTTGCCTAATTGTGTATGACCCTGGTGTCAATTCTCAGGACTCTAGATAACATACATACAGTGGTACGATGTAGGAAAAGAAAAAAAAGGGTAACTTAGGAAGGAGGAATCAAGGAAGAAAGGAGAAAAGGCACAGGGAAGGGTGAAGAAAGGGGAAAGAGAAGATGAAGGGAGCAATAAAAAAAGGGTAAGAATAATGGAGGAAAGGAAAGAAAAAGGGGCAGAAGTGTTTGAGAACACAAATAAAGCACAGTACTGTGGGAGAAATTCACAAAGAGAAAAATAAGGGAAGAGGAGAAAAGAAGGAGGGGAAACTGACTCTAACTCAAGAAAATCTGGGACTGAGACAGAAATAAATGAAGTTCAGAGAAAGGAGAAAATGAGGTTTCTAACAGATTCCTAGAAATGAAGGTTTAAGCTATTTCCAAAAGTTCCATATCTGCATTGTCCAATATGAGAGGTACCTTCCAGCAACAGGTGCTATAAACACCTGTTTAATGTGAAGCTGTGTCTAGTCTGAATTGAAATATAATATAAATGTAAGCTATACATCTGATTTCAAAGATTTAATATGAAAACGTTAATACTTTAAAATGTTTTATACTAATTATATCAAATGATAATTTTGCATATAACAGATCAGTGAAAAATATTAAAATTAATTTCACAAATTTCCATTTACTTCTATAGTTATTGCATTATATTTCTATTAGACAGCACTGCTTTGTATTTTTAAGACTGTTTTAGGACTCAACTCATGCTGGTGCCAGAGTATAACCACAGAAATCATTGCCATCCTTACAACCATCCCCATCTTTCAGAATGCTAATTGCTAAGAGATGTGTAACTACATATGTAGGTGTTAAAACCTGGTTATGACAGTAACCATGAGCTCTAACAGGATAAAGACCTCTACTAACCTATTTTTAACATTTAAATCTAGGCAAGTGGTGAGGCTTGAGTGAAGACTGGCAAAATAAAACTATGGGATTTAATATAAGGGAATGAAACTAGAAGATGAATTTTGTGACCTTGGAATAACACTGGTTCTTAAGATTTGACATCTGACCACCACAATGAAAAAAGATACTTGAAGATTGCCATTATATTCAAAAAAATAAGAACACACAGAGGCATATTTTTGGAAGCCTCTTCTCTAGACATATGTCGTCACTTTCTGAAAACTGTTCTTTAAAATATTGCTTTATCCTCCCTCATATAAAATAATTTTCCCATATAAAAATAAATGTCAGAGTATTAAGAAAAAATGAAAGTACATGCATACACACACAGAAACACACACACACACACACACACACACACACACACAATTTGCCACCCTAACTATAAGGGAAAAGAAAAAACTTTCAACGTATTTTGTATTTACTGCAGAGTACTACACTGAAAAAAACAATTTTGTTACATACTGACTATATTCCCCTCTCCTCAATTTTATGAAATAAAGCCAACTCTAAGCCACAGCCCAATTACTTAGGAAAAAGTTAAATATTTGGAAGTATTAAAATACTGCTGCTTAAACCTCAGTGTACACACAAATTCACAGAAGGATCTTTATAATTCTACAGATTGTGATTTAGCATGGCTGGAGTGGTACCTAAAGTTATTTTGCAAGTATTTTTCAAACAGTTCCAAGGTGATACCAATGCTGTTAGACCATGGGTTACACTTGGAGTGGCAAAGGGTTAAAACAGAAAATTATTCCTAATTAAAAACAACTTATATTTAGTATTTAAAAAGGGGAAATAACTTTATCCCAAAGGGTCCAAACAGTTTTTTATTTTAAGGCATCATCTAACACAACACATACTTTTAGTGTTCGTCTGAGTTTGTGGACCAGCACTACGAGGCTTAAAAACATAGCAATCCACATGTCAAACTTGAGAATTTATGTCCCTACAATTTACCCTGGGCTCTAATTTAGATATAGGTAATAAGAACACACCGTCAGGATAACTGAAAGCAATTCTAGTATTTCTGTGAGAATTATCATTATGTCTACAAAATGCACCACACGTATTACTTATACACACTATACTGATACTGATAACTATACTGATACACTATAAAGTTTGTAGGCAAAAAATTAAACATATATAAATATGTGAATAAAATAAACTCATCTGACTCTATCATATTTTTTCTCAATATAACATTTTCTACAATAAGTATATAATAATATTGAAATGCATTTTAAATTCAAAAATACATGACAGCCAGACACAGTGAGATGCACCTGTAATCCCAGCAACTCAGAATGCTGAGATTGCCTAAGACCATAAGTTTGAGACCATCATGGGAAATAAGAGACCCTGCCTCAAAAAACAAAATAAAAGCAAAACAAAAACACATGACAATAGGACTAATATTGAGTGAATATACAAAAACTTTTTTAAATGATGATTAAGAAACAATTATTAAGCATTGTAAGGAACAAGAATAACAATTCAGGGCTGGGGATTCAGCTCAGTGGTTCTGGCACCTGCCTTGCAAGCGAAAGGACCTGAGTTCGATCTCCAGTACAAAAAAAAAAAAAAAGAATAACAATTCAAGTTACATACCTTTGTAAAGTTATTCAGATGTCCTAGCTTTCTCATATTTGATACGCCTTGTAATTTGGCCACATTTTGGAGTATCTCTCTTAAGTTATCAGAAGGTTCTAGAAGACAAGACAATTTAACATAATTTTAAGGATGTTTCCCTAATCAAACACATAAAAGACACAGTATTAAAATGTCATAATATTGGCTCTTGGTTTAAGTCTCACCCTCCACCCAAGTCCATTCATTTAGTTGACCTCAAAGTCTACATGGATGACATCCAACTGCCCTTGCATTTGTACTCCACTCATACCTATGCTCCAACTCTGTGTATTACCTGGAATTATTCAAACACAAAAATCACAAATTTCAGCATCTCAACTTTCACTTCTTGTTTTTATGTGGAAAAGGAATCAAATTCCTGTTTGAATCAATCAAAAAGCTGGATAAGATATATTAAATTATAGTTTTCAAGACACTGGCTATCATACAGTAAAGAACAGTGATTCCTGAAAAATGAGAAACACATGTGTGCCCTACAATTTACCAGCTCGTTGCCTTATGAGTTTCCAGGCCTTGTCTCTGGGAGGAAAAACCTTTCTGAGTTGAACAGACACTGCCAAGGAGTCCAGGGAGACCATGGATTACTGAAGAGGATCAGTGTTCAGAAAGAACTCTGGAAATCTAGAAAGGGAGTCCCTCAGGTATTCAGTGAACAATCACCCTTGTATATTTGTGAGGAAATTACCCATGGCCAGGAAAACAATCACTCAAAAGAATTAGAGGGAGAATACCATGCAGTCACCCAGGTCAAGGAATAGTAACTGTTCCTCAAGAGACATATTGAAACACCTCATGGAAATGAGTACTCAGAAAAGCCTTGACTCAGCAGCGGGGAACCAATTAGATATATAAACTAATCATTTCTTTGATACACCTACAAATCTTAAAAGTAAGATTTGAAAGAATCAAAACTGTTTCCAAATAACTAAAGGCCAAAACTAAGATTTTTAGGAATAGAAAACATACATACAAAGCACCTAGCAAGGCAAATTTTACAATGTTTGGTATCCAGTTGAAAATTACAAGCCATGTAAAGAAGTGAGAAAACATGTACCATAATGTACAGAACAATCAATCAATTAAAACTGACCCCAAAACTGGCAGATACTGGAATTACAAAAAAAGGGACATCATAACAGTTTTTATAACTACAGTTCTATGTTCAAAAACAGGCACATGCACAAAAAAATGTAAAGACACTCAAATTTCTATAGCTAAAAGCTTTAATATCTTACATGAAAAATATTTTGGATGGGAAAAACATAATAGTGAACTTGAAAAGGCAATAAACCTAAAATGTAACACAGAAGTACTTCAAGCAGTTTAACATATGTATGTTGTCAAAGTAAAAAGATGCACACAGAACAATTGAAGAATGGATGAAAACTGTGTTACCTGATGAAAACAATAAGCCACTAAATTCAAAAAATTCAAACATCTCCAAGCATAAGGAATGTGAAGAAAACTAAACCAAGAAACATCATTATCAAACTGTTCAAAACCACTGAGAGATAATCTTAAAAGTAGCCAAATTAAAAAGATAAATTACATAGAAAAGAGCAAAAAAAAAAAAATAGGGATGACAGATTTCTTGTGAGAAACAGGTAAGAGTTACTAGAGCAACATCTTTAGAGTAGTGAAAGGAAAAAAAAAAGTTTTGAAAATGTAGTAAACACTGTAGGTTGCTCTGCTACACAGAAACAGGCTACCAGCCAAACAGGTCTCTCTAGGTAGTAGTTTGCTGACCCCTGGAAGAGAAGTGTTGATTTCCACAGGTTGCTATAAACTTTTTTTTTTTTTGAACTCACGGCAATCCTCCTGCCTCAGCCTCCTGAGTGCTGGGATTACAGGTGTGCACCACCATGCCTGGTTTATTCTTGTATTAATATATTCAGCATCCTACTTGTTAAATAAAATGAAAGCACAATCCTAAAACAAAACAAAACAAAAAGCCTTAATATGTTGTTCATATTTTAGTTTAAGAGCCATTATAATTTCCTTTGGATTCTATCTTCACAAATCCAAGGAAATAATTAGAATTAGTATTTTCCTCACCAAATGAAACTGCACTGTTTTATTTTACATTTAGCTTCCATACGGCTACTTTACTCCACTCTGTTTATTGGTAGTTTGGCCATTACAATTTGGTATCAAACTACTAAACACACTGTTTATCTCAGCTATTTCTAATCTCTTTAATGCTGATATCTGTTGAAATCATTCACTTGATTCTACAGTATCCTTCATGAATTTTAGGATATATATACAATACATACATGTAACGGGGGGGGGGGTTTTACTAAGGATTGAACCTTGAATCAGTTATTGCACTGAGCTACATCCCTAGCCCTGTTTTTTTATTTTGTTTTGTTTTTTCATTTTGACACAGGGTCTAGATAACTCATTAAATTGCCCAGGCTGGGCCAGAACTTGTGATCATTCAGTCTTAGCCTCTTAGAGTACTGGATTACAGGCATGCACCACCTTGTCTAGCTAATATATGTTTTCTAACGTGAGTGAAATTCAATTTATCTTAAGTGGCTTAGGATGTATCTTTTTAATTAGTGACTTATGGAGTTATATCAAAAGTGGAATGGTACTTTTTTTTTTGGTACCAGGGATCGAACTCAGGACCTTATGCTTGTGAGGCAGGCATGGTGCCACTAAGCTAAATCCCAGCCCTCAAAAGTGGAATAAAAACCTATCATTGAGTAAGTTCAGATTCCATTAAAAATAATTATAAGATGCCGGGGATTTAGCTCAGTGGTTCCGCAGCCTGCCTCGAAAGCGCAAGGTCCCAAGTTTGATCCCCGGTACAAAAAATAATAATAATAATTATAAGAGGCCATGAATAAATTACTTAGTATTTCTGTTATTATAAATTGAATCTATTTGGAGAGATTGGGGAAGAAAAACTGTAAGTAAACCAATGTATTAAATGATTTAACTATATTCGAGAAGCTTATAATAATCTGTAACTTATTTCCTTAACCTAGAACCCACATCAATTTGCAAAGTCAAGGTCAAGGACTAAAGATAGTTGTGAAACTTAACTACTAAATGCATAACCTAAATATTTTACATCAACTTATCATTAGATTGCATAACTTAAAAATTTTACATCAATTTATCATTAGACTGTCAAGCATTAAACAAAAGCTTTACCAAAGTGACAATATGGTTACTCCTATCAAACGATCCCAGAGGACTAATATTTAAGATGGTTAGCCTGAAAAGATGTATTCCTCACAAAGGTGTATAGATTTTTGCTGCCTATTTTCTAAAGGGACAACTGACTGTAGACATTTTTTAAAAATCTTGATACAAAAATGAAATCTTATATCTGAGTTCATTAACTGAATGCCTGTTGTAATCAGATGCTGTGTAGGTACTGAGAATATAACAATGAACAGGATAGATCTCTCCTTAATGTACTTCACACAGAAGCACAATTATAACTGACAATGAATAACAATAAAAAGGCTATGCACACAACTCTAAAACTGACAGGTGTTAATAATTCAACACTGAAAAACAATAATAATTCAACACTGAGACAAGTGCTTGCCTAATGAATGTCATCATTCCCAACTCAAATCAAAATGAACCAGCTTTCCTACTTTTTTCACCTCTTCCCTCATTTTATTTATATAATTATTGTACCAAGAACCCTAATTAGGGAAGGACTTCAGAACTGCTTCACAACAGCTATTGAAGGAATATATTTCTCCTAAACATTATATTACTTCCCAAACCAATTTAAAATAATTAGGGTTAATTTATATTGAAATACTATCTAAAACTCACCAGCTATAATGTTGCTATGAGGAACTTTAACCTGAAATATCAGATTATAGTTCTGCTGGTAACAAAATGAGAAATTACTGGTTCCTTCCTTACTTGCTAGATTAAAAGTCTGCAAACCTTCTGTAAAGGACCAGATAAAAACCATTTTAGAGAGGCTGAGGCAGGAGGATCAGTCAAGCCCAGGAGCCTGAGGCCAGCTTTGGAAACACAGCAAGACTCCACTGCAAAAAAAAATTATTTTAGTTTACAGGGCACAAACTGCAACTGCTTGATTATTCTGCTGTGTAAGAAATCAAGTACAGAAAATAATACATGAATGAATGTGGCAATGCATACAGTCAATTCAGGGTGCTAAGAAATACCACAGACTGGGTGTCTTACAAACAACAGAAATTTATTTCTCACAGTTCTGGAAGCTGTAAGTCTAAGATGTGAGAATCAGGTCAAGTTCTGGTGAAAGCCGTAGTCCAGAGGTGGTGAACCTATAAGCACATGTATTGTTTGTTCTTCTTTTAAGACAAAAGAAGTTAATGTATGAGTTGTTTTTTCTAAACTAAAACCTCAGTACTCAGGTTTAATTGCAGTGTTGGCACTTTATGATAAATAAGTGGGTTTTGGGTTGCAGTTTGGGGGATTCATCTCTAAAAGGGTTGCCATCACTGGTCCATGGTGCAGACTGTCAATGTGTCAATTTCTCATTTCTTCCTAACGTGGTAGAAAAAGGGGAGGAAAGAAATCTCTAGGGGCCCTTTCATAGAGATTAGAGAGGTTGAAGAAGAATGCCATTCACAAGACTCTCTTTCCTAATATCAACACTTAGGGGTTAGGATTCCAACACATGAAATTTGTAGGGACATAAGCATTTTGTCCATTGCACAAGAGGTATAGTCTGCCAACCCTTAGGCTAAAATAAATAAAATTATATCAGAAAGTGGTAATTTGAGATCAGGGAAATTTTGATACAGGGAGCAGGGAGAATTGATAGGAAGGTAGCAAAAAGAAAAAAAAATTAAGGAGATTTACCTGTCTTTATTTGTGCCTACAGACACAATATTTCCAGTTCAGCTTCTCCAGAGCTGTCTACTGACAATACTACTGTATGAGAAGCATAAAGTACCAATGAGATGACCTATTATGATCATATTCTCTGAAGCCTTTTAGTTTAGAAACCTAAGGCTGCATAATGGAAAAAAAAATGCTTGTGTGTGAGAGCAGCTGGGTAAGATAGCCAACCATTTAAATGTAAGGA